AGCTTAAAAAACCAAATGAAATTTAAAGTTGTCCCAGTGATAAATTATCGAAGGAATATGAAACTCTCACAACCAACATTTTAATGGAAAAGAGAGGGGAAATATATGAAAACATACATAGAACTACAATTTAGAATTCTTAAAGGCATACATAAAGAGGGATTTTGAATAGTCGGCAACATAACACCAAGATGAGTGATAGAGAATCACCATGAGATAGGAGCAAGAGGGGTTTTTGTGAGATGGGATTCAAATTCCACTCCCGTAAACATGATTTATGACCACGCTAAAAAAATACAATGTGACAATGTCAACAAATTAAATTTTATGTTATTTACAATTTAAATAAAAAACACTCTTTTTACTTTTTTTGTGTTTCTTTTTCTAGGGGCTCAATTTTTCAGATTAAAACATGATCTACAAATTATTTTAGATTCCTAACTACGGTTACAAATATAAAACATAGACTTGAAAGTAAAAATCAACAAGTTTGTTTAACTAAATTCTTCAAACTGAATTAAATATTAAAATTATGGATCTGTTTAATCTCAAATAAGTTAACTGATAATACATTTTTAAATTAAACTTTAAACTTAGCAATTACAATACAAATCTAAGATAAAGAATTAAACTAAACAACTTACAACTATACAATTAATTCTTAAAGAGAATGTGAATAGAGAAAATAAGAACTTTGCTCAACTTTGATATAATTTTTCAGAACATTAAATCAAAGTTTCTTGCAATTAGTTTTGTAGTGTAAATTAATCAAATATTACGTAAATGAGAGGTCTAGTGTACCTTGAAACAATCGGCTGAACCATCATCTGATAATATATCAATAAAGTCACCATCAAACGTCTTTTATCCTACTGAAAAGGGAAAGGTAAACATCGAGAAAACCTGAAGGGGTGAAATCACGGTCTTTCGACCAAGAGATCGGGTAAGGAAGTCAGTTACGCAAGGGGGAGGTGTTAGCACCCCTCACGCCCATGGTACTTCATGGTATCCACTCTTGATTGTTACTTATAAGGGTGTGTTTAATCTATTTCTATGGTTAAAAGAGAAAATGAAAAGGGAATGCATGAAAAAAAGAACTGTGGAGAAAAGAAGGAAGTATTTATAGTTGTGCTTGGTTAGGCTCCGCAGCTTCATGTCTACGTATCCCTTTCGAGGAATCAGAGCGACGTAGTTCAGATCACAAATTTACATTTATTTTGTATTTTTTAAAAATAATATTAATTTTCTTTCTGCCGCAGCTCGACCTTTGGAGACTCATGCATCAACACAGGAAGGAATTAATACGTTTCTTACCCGAAGGTACTCTCAAGAGAGAAAAAATGCCAAGAGGCCAGGAATGTTGCATTCACAACTCTAGCAAGTAGACACGGGAAGTCATATTGCATGGAGTAGAATTAACATATACATTTCGCAAATTTGAAATGCCAAGGGGAGAAAAGAGTTTAAATTGGTTGGTGCTTTTTTACTTGAAAAGGATTTTGTATGGTTAGCATGTTTTGTACATTTACCAAGAAAAAGAAGTTTTAGTTTTAAATGCAATTATGAAAAATGGAAAGAAAACATCTAAGGGAGACTAACCTATTTCTAATTTTAATGTTATCATACAATGATGGTCCTATGTCGAGGATTAACAAAAGGGAAGTGTCTACCTAATGTTAGCATGCATAGTTTAGAAACCTAATGTCTCGAACACTAACCTAAGAGAATCGAGAAAACCCTAAGAGAACATGGTATAAAAAGAAAATAAACAAGCAAGTGCTTCGGAAAAAGCACACAAATAATGCAATATGAAATCATATGCATGGGAAGTGGGGAGATGCCATAGCTAAGAGGAGTGAATCATCCGAGTCAACCAGGCGCTCTCTAGTGTGGGATAAAGCAGCTATACCGGGCATTGAATTGTTGGGCAAGCAAAATATATGCATAAAGTGATGTTCAAAGCGTCTAAGCATCTAACCAAGATATATGAGATCAAGGTAGACGATAGAAGATAGTATGAACAATCATGGAGTGTCAGCATCGGCCAATGCAAACTCCTGATAAAACATACGGAATTGAATGAAAGTCCATTTTCCATTTACGGACTCGATACACTGGATCTGGGGAACAACCACAATAGCATCGACGTACAACGTAAGCTACGAGTGACACGAACTAGAATGTGTGGGGGCGCGCATCTCTCTTTTGGAGGACTTCACCTCTTTTGAGGTCTTTGGGGATGGGGATAATATGCGAGCAAAATGTAAACACACTTGCAAAATACCTACTTCAAAGGTAGGGTTTTAAACAAACCAAACACAAATAGCATACAGAAAGTGGTGCCTGCTACAGGTCTTTAAACAGATATTTCGAGCGCACACTCTTTATTTCCTGATTCCTACTTCTCATAATCTCTAGAAAGAGGTAAAATTCCTACTTCTCATGATCTCTAGAAAACGGTAAAGTAATCCAGTAAAGGAATGAGGAGTAATAAAACAGAAAGAATTGCTACCAAAATGAACAATGGTTCTTAGCAAGCAAACGAAAGCAAGAATACTCCAGAAAACTTCGAGTCCACTAGCATCAACAACAAGATAGTCAACACCAATATCCAACATCAGTCAATGGTACATAAACAAAATAATAATCTGAATATATCGCATCAGAGTGAATTTCCTTCCAAACTCGCGTCATGCCACAAGAAATGTTAGCAAATAACAAGGAATATTGAAATATAATTTAGCAAATAATATTACAATACAAAATGGTATATCATTGTGAACATTATCATGTATTAGGCAACATTGAAATAATAATAATAATAATAATAATAATAATAATAATAATAATAATAATAATAATAATAATAATAATAATAATAATAATAATAATAATAATAATAATAATAATAATAATAATAATAATAATAATAATAATAATAATAATAATAATAATAATAATAATAATAATAATAATAATAATAATAATAATAATAATAATAATAATAATAATAATAATAATAATAATAATAATAATAATAATAATAATAATAATAATAATAATAATAATAATAATAATAATAATAATAATAATAATAATAATAATAATAATAATAATAATAATAATAATAATAATAATAATAATAATAATAATAATAATAATAATAATAATAATAATAATAATAATAATAATAATAATAATAATAATAATAATAATAATAATAATAATAATAATAATAATAATAATAATAATAATAATAATAATAATAGAGACATAAGATCATAATCCGGGCAGCAAGTACACCATTTAAACTCACATAAACAATCTCCTAAAAATGAAGGAAGAATGCATTTATAAACGTCACAAAGTAATCAAAACTCGAGAGTTAAGTAAGTTTCTTATTAGATAAGGTATGGCATTTTACAAGTCAGTAGCTAACCTATAATCATTGATCTTAAACAAAATTTACAATAAAGATCATGATTGCAACAAACTATGTGTCGAAACTATGCTAAAACGATTAATCGACAAGTTAGGAGTCAACCGTAACGATACACTAAAAATATGACCCGATTAGAGAATTGAAATCTAATTAAAAGCTAACTAAACATGTTAGTATGTTAGTTAAGAACCTAATTGAACATTGAACTAAGTTTAGGCATCGTTGTAAAAAAAATTGATTCCTAACTAGGCAAGTAAGTATGTAGTTATGCATCTTTGTATAATACAAAGGAAAAAATTCGAATCAAAGGCTAAAGGAACCTCAAAAATCATGGATTTAAACCTCAAGGAATGTTATTATGTACCTCATCATATAATAAAAAATTTCTAAGCTATTTCATAAATACAAGCTTAAAAATCAAACAATCGCATACACATGCGTTCTTAACTAGATACGGACCGAGGCTTCTAAAAACCAATTGAAAAATGATTCAACTCTCCATTAAAAAAATAGTCAAATTGGTATGTGAACCATTAACACATAGACTTCTGACTATGGCAAACAAATTGTTCAAGAATAGCGAGCAATCATCATCAAACGTTAGCCTTGATAAAAAACTAGTTAACTAGCATATCTTCACAAAAATGTTTTAAAAGAGATTAAAAATTAAGTTGTAAAAATATAGAAAAATCATCTAAAAATTCCTAAGGCATGGAAGAATCAGACACACACTTTTATGGATTTTATTTGTCGAGAAATGATCAAAAATCGCACCAAAACGTGCAAGGTATCATATGAAACTTATTTCTAAACGTATTATCAAAATATAATTAAAAGGGATTAAAATTTAATTATAAAAAATCCCAAAAAAATGATTAAAATTCCTAAGAAGCTAAATAACCAGGAATGTACTTTTCCACATTTTTTGTATGTCCAAAAGATCGAAATTACATGAAAAATCGCTTGAGTACCAAGATTAGGAAACATAGAACCAAGGGGGGTGTATTAATGAGTTTCTAATTGAACTACATTCACTTAACAACTCTGGATTTGGGCTTATTGGAGGGGTGTAGATAGAGAAAACGTAGGCTCATAACTGTTTGTACTAAAATCCATAACTCCAAACAAAAAATAAAACAAATCTCCAGATTTCATTTATTGGTATGTCACGTTTTTCTTATGTGATACGCACATTCTTCAAATGGTCAAGTTTCCTTTAAATGAATTAATCATAAAATTATTCCCTGGCCAATCCTATTCTGACACCTATTATCCTGATTACAAAAATAAAATAAATAAATAAATAAAATAAGATATAACTGGATTCTGATTGGTTGACACCAATCCTCATGACCGAATAGGGAAGGGCCACGCCTAGGGCTTTTGTATCAAATGAAATAGAACATGAAGATCCGTTGTCTTCTCCGGCCGACTAAACCCCTCTCACAGCGGCGATGGTAGCCGGAACATACAAGCTTCACCAGAAATGACTAGGCTTAACACTATTGGCCTCAGTTTTTCATACTGATCCTGGATCCGATCTCAGTAATCGCTAAACTTAAACAAGATCGAGCTACAAGGCAACATTCAGAGATTCACAAATTTCACATCAATGACTAACATATAATGGTGTGCCTAACTCTACCCTCTGCCTATGCAGAGTCAGATGCAATGAATGCTTCTTCGTTAAAGTGAATCTAACATGATGAGCAAGGGATTTCCGAACACTTACTTGTTGAAGATTACAGACTGAACAAGCAATTCCAGAAAAAGTACGGATTGTACAAGCAATTCTAGAAAACTCTACATCTGCAATCTTGTCGCGAATAGAAGAAGACGAGGGAAGCAACGGGATTATCAGGATATGCTTCACTGTGAAATAAATTTCGACCAAGTCTCCCTCTTGCAATGAGAATGTAGGATAGCTCAATGATTCATCGAGGATGATAAAGAAACAAATGAGCCAACTTAGATAGGAGGTGACGTGATGAGAGAATAGAAGAAGGTTCAGTTATAGTGTTCTTCGAGAGAGAGAAGAGTCTCTATCGTATTAAAGATGAGGATGAGAGAGGGCTCAGTTCTTGGTGAGAGAGAGATTCGATTAAAGTTCATGGAAGGTTGTTATGGTCGAAGAAAGTTTGTTACGGTTAGGGAGGAGAAGAGAGTGAGGTGTTGGTGGTTGTTGTTATGGTTCTGGAGAAGGAAGAGGGTTTAGATGTTGTTATTATGGTTCTGGAGAAGGAAGAGGGTTTGAAGGTTGTTGTTATGGTTCTGGAGAAGTAATAAGGTTATGGATGAGAAAAAAAGTTGTGTGGAGAGAAGTTGTTGTGTAGAGAAAGAGTGAAGGTTTGTTATGGTGGTGGAAGCGAGTCCGGAGATGGAGAGTTGGGAGTTGTTGTTTTATTCAGTGGAGGAGGGAGTAGGGTAGCATGTGGTGCACATCCATCAAACTTAATTGACAAGTTTTGTGAAGCTATTTTAAACAAACTCTTCCCATTATGCATGCATGAAGAGCTCTTGCTTGGCTAAATAGAGAAAGATAGTGATGCATGCATTTATGCTGCATGTTGCAGCCTTGCCTAGCCAAAATACAATTTCAGTTTCGAATGGGCCATATAGCTCACTTCATGAGCTTATAACTTGATATTCAGATTTCCAAATGACACAATCTTAATGGCAATAGAAAGCTGACATATCGTAGAATATTTGTATGTTGATTACCCTTTGAAGTAAAGCCTAACTCCAACCTTAAATTACTCTTGAAGCTTGTTGCTTGATCACTTTAAAAATCTCTCAAAATCTTCTATATGCTTAACTTTGCAAACATGACAAACTCATATCTTTCAAGCTACGTAACTCAAAATCCAAGCCTTTTTTTGGAGATAACCCTACTACAAGTACAAACTTGTAGATTGCCATGAAATGAACAACTTTGTAGTTGAATTCGACTTGAAATAATGCTTAAGATCACATGTACATACTTCTAAAGTCAGTTACCTGAGCATTCTAAAAATATGCCAGAATTTCACTAAGTGTAAGAATTTCAAAAAGTTATGAACACTCGACTTTCAAGTCACATAACTCAAAATCTAAGCACTTTTAGGAGATGACTCCTCAAGGAGAAAAATGGAGTATGAAATTCTCTCTTTCCAGAGAACCTGAGTTCGCAAATTTCTGACCATGGATGAGTGAGATAAAGAGTTGCAAAGATGACTATATGAACACAAAGACTTCCAAAAACTTAGAAAATTTTATAAGTGTCCAAATCACTTAAAACGCAAGAAATCTCAATTTTGACTGATTCTTCCGACTTTTCTCAACAAATGATCTCATTTTCTCACATATTTATTTTTGACAATAATTTTGACCAAAAATTTCATTTAGTCAACCTTTGACTTTTTATTGACTTTTGCTCGTGCACACTCTAATTTATTCATACTCAATCGATCCTGATTTTCTGATAAGATATGGAGATTAATAAGACATACATGAATGTATTAAGACCAATTGAAGACCGTGGAACTATTTTAAGCTCAAATATTCAATCGTAACACATCACTGATCAAAAACCCTAATTGGTGGCCACAAGTGAAAATGAATTAATCAGGGCGCGAAACCCTATTTCAAATGAAGTATCCTGAAAACCTATTGAACCAACAAGCCTCGTGCATATGGAAAATACTTGTAATTATGAGACTTCAGATATTCAGCCCTTGCGAATCAAATTCCTTATCTTGAGTTGTACACATTCACACAACCAAAACCCTTGATTCCATATCATTGAGTTAATGCAATGCAAATGATAAATATGATGATGAAGCACAAGCCATTTTGTTTATAATTAAGAAGGAAAATTTTAGGGTGTAACAACTTCCCCTATTCAATCTTCTTTAACTAGAGGGTGATATTGGTGCTAGCCTTTCGAACAATTAAGGTGAAAGAGGATTGAATACTTAATAGGACCGTAAAATTTGCACTCGGAAGTCAATCAGGTATCATGTATTTTTAGGTTTTTTGTATTTTCTATTTTTTGCTTTTTGGTAGGTAATGGTTATTAGGGGTAAATGTATGCTAGGTCAAGGTTAGACACATAAAAGAGAAATTGGTTATCAAGAAACGCATTTTCAAAGTCGGTAGCAAACACAAACGACATAGACTAATCAAAGGAAGCCCCATTAAAGATTCCAATGATATGTGTCAGGAGGAAAGGACACATACGAAAGATATCGAGTAGACATTCTTGAAGCTAGTAGCAGACACAAGAAAGAGACCAGATGAAAGGACTCTTACAAAGGTACGGAAAATACATGTTCGGGGTCGTTAGCGAACACATACGAGAAGGATATCGAAAATACATATCTGAAGTCGGTAGCAGATACATACGAAATACACTAACCGAAGAGAGCTCTAACAAGGATATCAACATGTCTGGAGTTGGTAGCAGACACATAAGAAAGAGATCAGAAGAAAGGACTCTTTATAGAGATATCACAAATATATGTTTGGAGTCGCTAGTGAACATATAAAAAAGTATCACGAATATATGTTCGGAGTTGGTAGCAAACATATAATCAGAAAGAGACTGGAGGAAAGAACTCCTTCAGAAGATACTACAAATATATGTTTGGAGTTTGTAGCGAACATACGACAGAAACTAACTGAAGAAAGCCCTATCAAAGATATCAACAATACATGTCTAGAGGAAAGGACATATATGAAAATATTGAATAAACATACCCGGAGTCGGTAGCAGACATATGCGAAAGAGACAGACCGAAGAATGCTCTAACAAGGATATCAATATGTATGGAGTCGGTAGCAGACACATAACAGGAAAAAGACCAGAGGAAAGGACTCTTATCCAAAGATATCAAAATACATGTCTGGAGTTGGTAGCAGACACATAAGAAAGAGACCGGAAGAAATGACTCTTTACAAATATATCACAAATATATGTTTGAAGTCGGTAGCGAACATATAAAAAAGTATCACGAATATATGTCTGAAGTTGGTAGCGAACATATAACCAGAAAGAGACCGAAGGAAAGGACTCTTACAGAGATATCAAATATGAAAGAACCCTAACAAAGTGGACGTAATCGAAGATATCAGGAATGGAAGAGATCTAAAAAAACAAACTCGACCAGAGATATCAAGGGAGGAAGAAGTATAACAAAGCAATGTCAACCAAAGATATCAAGGATGAAAGAGACCTAACAAAGTGGACTCAATCGGAGATGATACATGTCCGGAGGAAATGACACATACAAGGAATATACCGGAGGAAATGTCTAAACCAAATATCAAATGTATGTCCAGGGTCTGTAGCAAACATAAGAAAGAGACTAACCAAAGAAAGCCCCAATGAAGATATCATTAATACATTTATGAAGGAAAAGACACCCGCAAGGAATAGACCGGAGGAAAGGTCTAAACCAGATACCAAACGTACATGTCTGGAGGAAAGGGCACATACAAGGAAGACCAGATGAAAGGTCTAAACCAAATATCAAATGTATGTTCGGGGTTTGTGGCAAACATAATAAAGAGACTAACTGAAGAAAGCCCCAACAAATATAATATTAATACATGTTCGGAGGAAATGACACGTATGAAAATATCGAATACACATGCCCAGAGTTGGTAGAGGCCATGTAAACAGGAAAGACCGGAAGAAAGGTCTCACCAAAGATAGACTTCTAGAGGAAGAATATCGATCGAAGGTAAACTTACCGGGAATAAGATATACATGTATGGTTATGGTTAGACACATATAAGAAAGAGACCAACCGAGGAGGACTCTTACAAAGATGGCCAAAACACATTGGACTTTAAGAGATTGCAAATGCGCAAGAACTACAATATCCCCCAGGCCAGAAACAAGATGTAATTCGTCAAGAGTGGCAATTATCTGAATTACCACACACCAAGCATGGATACCCAAATTCTTGAAAAATAAGAAAGGTCATACACCGACTCTTACTTACACTTTGACAGCGAGGCCGACACGGGTAAAATAATCAAGGGCTTGCAAGGGCAAGGGAAAATCATGACTCACTGGAGAAATGGGCCATACCAAAGACCCGAATGGTGATAGGCCAAATAAACTCTGCTAGGGAACATGATAGAGTCACCTTAGAGGCTGGCGGTAGAGGTAATTCAAAATTGAGCATAACAATTTGGTTACTGCAAGTAAACATAACTGGCTTATACTTATGCACTTATGCATGTTTGAACTTTTTTGTTTTGGTAGATGAAATGTAATATTGCATGTTTAGTGATGCATGGGGGAAAATATGGCAATAATCGATTGCTGAGAAGACAATGAACTTCCGAACGATTAACTTTGCATATCTAATTTTTTGTAGAGAAAAATCAATCTGAACTTCCATGGGGAATCGAGATTCGGACCCATCAGCTTCTAAAGATTGATATCACTAGGAAAGTAACTTACTGGGGGAGACTACTGCAAAAATAAACTGCAGCTCAGAAAATTTGAACTATGATCAAACCCTTAATCTCTTAGGGAACAAATTCACGGTCTTCTGTCAATGATGAGGGGAACTTCGATAGGAATGGAAATTTTCTCGCGTAGAGCTTCCTTGACGAATATAACTTCTAATGGGGAGAAATCATAAAAATTATTAAAGAAGAAGAATTCTACCCAAACCACATTAGGGATATTACCGCCGGGGGTAAAATTCTTCATTTGGGGGAGAGACAAGCATCTTTAGAATAGAACTCCAGCCAGGAAATAATGTGCAAGTCAATCCGGGAAGTCCTTGAAATTCGACTTCGACTGGAGAGAAAGCCACCTCTTCACTAGGGAGCCGAAATGCCTTAGATAGAAATATAAACAATACCAATTATATTGGAGACAACCCTTTTTTCGAGATTCCCGCTGGTAAGGGCTCGTACTTGGGATAAGAAAAATCCCTTCATTGGGGATAACAATCAACTCCCTGGAGATGCAAACCAGTATCTCCCATAGTTAACCAGGAATCTCTTCAAGAAACACTGATATAGGCAGATCGCACTGGGGAGGAAAAGTACCAACTTTACTGAGGAGGAGAATACACTTCATGGGGAAGACGAGTGTCATCCTCATTGGAGGAGCAAAATACCGACTTCATGAATAGTATATCAAGAATCTCCGGTTGGTGAATAGAAAAGATTCGTCTGAAAATTTGAAAGACACAAATTGTGCTGAGGAGGAGATATACTCGTGCGAGTGTACATCCTTACTGGGGATAACAGGCTCTGCCTTGAGTAAAGATGAACATTCACTAGGGAAACTGGATTCTATTCTATAGAAATCCTCATCCCTTAAGACCCTCATGTTTGTCACATACAAACTTTCCTTGGTACATGCGGGTACTCTTCTTGTCACAAAATACCAACGATTCTTGCGAAAAGGAAAGTTACAACAACATACCCCAAGTGTGAAATGGAAACCTTCACTGAGGAATAGACAATCTGAACTAATAATCAATGGGTCAAAACTGAGAAGCAAGATTGCAACTTCAACATGTCAACTCTGAGGAGGAATTCCACTGACAAGCGGACTTTAGAGAGGACACTGCAAAAATAAATTGCAGTTCATAAAAAATAAATCATTTTGATTTTACACAACTCTGGAATTTCTAGAGAGAAGATCCGTTCTCCTCCCGTAGAGAAATAAGGAATGCTTAGCTGGGGAGTAAATACCAACTTCTCAAAGCAAATAAGCGACGGTATCAGATCTCACTAGGGAGATAATGACGTAGTTCTCATTGAGGACAACAAATACCGATTTTTGTAAGGATATAAGATTCATAGAGATAAACAAAAAATCCCCTTCATTGGGGGCATGGATATACTTCACCGGGGAAGATGAATGCTGAACTCACAAGAAAGGCAAATGCACATGTCATCACGGAGGTTCACTGAGGAATAAACAGCGGTACCAAGCCTTACTAGAGCCAGGGAGATCAGCCCAATTGAGGAGACGAATGCCGACTACAGTGGGGAAAAAGATGTAAACTTCATGGGACAGAATAACGTGACCTTCTGGGGACAGTGAACTTTATTAGGTTGCAATGGATTCCTTACTGGGGAAATGGGTCCTTATAGGAAACCACACTTCCATCATGAACCTTGTAAGGGTAGCAACCTCATAAGTTGCTTAGCCTGTGACTGGGTT